AGATCTGTGCACTAATTTTTGGTTTGAATTCTATGTTGCTTCGAACAATTGAATGGGCCTAAGTGCTATGTTTTCAAAGGTTGAAGATCGCAGATCCAATTTTTCGCTATAATAAAATATGGACCACAAGTTTTATTTACACGTGTAATGTTTGTGTGTGAACCCTAAGAAAAGTCTTTCCTTGTTGAATTTTCTTCCAACAAAAAATTGACAACTATGATGTGATTGAAGTAAGCAAATTCATTAAAAATACAAGAGTAAATTTTTGGCAGATAAAATTTAGTTGCTTAATATATTTAGTATTTAATTGTCGTGAAGTGATTTTTCTCTAGTTGAAATATTTAAGTAACTATAGTAACATATATAGTTTTTGTTACAGTTTTCTCCGTTAGTTCATTTGATATATTTATTTAAAATAACAGTATCAAGGATAAACAACCTATTAAGAGAAGTTGATAAAATCTATTGTATAATCGTTCATTACTACAAACAAAATATGTCATGTTGTGCTATTCAGGACTTATTAATTGTCATGAATAGTTATTTCATGGATTACAACTTTGATTTCAATGACCTAAACAACATTATATGAAATATGTTCATTCATGGAAACATGTATTCCGTGCTAAAAGAACAATTTTGTGGAAATTTGTTCTTCAAAGAATGAATTATGTGGAAGCCAAGTCTTTCCAAGTACCTCTATGCGTGAAATTAATTTTTTTGTGGAAATTTGGACGTTTAACCCCGCTATGACATGGCGTCTACTTCATTGTGGGATATAGTTATTTAATTTTTAGAAGAGTCCTGAACTTGTCTATACCCCATCCAAAAGGCCTCGACCGAGTTGACTAAAAATCCTCAATGACATTGATCTCGTTTGACGTAGATGATTGTCTCTCATGATTTGCAGCTAAATTACCTTTAGTCTGCAACTTATCGCAATCTTTCTTAACGTGTCTTTTTCTCCTGCAGTAGAAGCAGTACAAATTGCTAAAGTTCGTTCTCAATCTATCCCTTCGTCGATCACCATGAGATACCAGAGCATCCTCATCCCTAGGTGTAGCTCCAATCAAATGCTTCATCTTCTTCTTTTAGAATAAAGTATCATAAGCATCTTCAATGGCAAGCATGTCAAGACTGTACAGTATCATGTCTCGGAACGACGAGAATGAAGGTTGTAGCGAACACAATAGGATCAAGGAAAGATCATCCTCATCATATTTGACCTCCAATGTTTCCAAATTCGCAACGATTTCCTTGAACACACCTAGCTTATCTTCTAATGATTTTCCATTTGCCATCCGATGGGAATACAATCTCTGCTTTAGATGTAGTTTGCTCGTAAGATTTTGGTCATGTACAATTGCTCCAATTTCAACCACAAACAAGCCGTCGTTTTTTCTTCAATACGTCCTGCAGAATGTTATTAGAGAGGTGAAGGTGAATCTGTGATAGAGTCTTACTGTCTTTCCGTTGTTTCTCCTCCATTGTCTAATTTGCTGGTATCTTATCAAAATCTAGCAAAGTATCATTCAAATCCATCTCCGTCAATAGCTCTCATCTTTACTCGCCACAGCGAAAATCTTGTATTGCAATCTAGCAACGATATATCATATTTCAATGTTGCCATCTCTGAAAAAATCCCAACCAAATTACAAGGAAACCCACAGCCTAGCTCTAATACAACTGGTTGGATTCGGAAGCGATGCAAGAATTGAGATTAATGAACAATATGAAATAGGTATGATCACAACGAAGAAAACAATATTAAAATAAAGAAATTGAAGAGAGATTAGCAGAGAAATCGATGTTTTATTAAAGACAATATGTAGAAAGAATACAAGAATTCAACAATAAAGTTTCACATAAATTGAACGAAGAGCCACATATTTATAGGGACATACCAAACTCTAAAATATCATAAAGATGAAAATAATATAAAAAAATAATGTGGAATAAAGGAAATAATATTTTTCCAATAAAATCTATCCTAACTTGGGACACAAAATCTAACAATCTCCACTTAACCCAAATCCCGGTACAACGAACAAAGCTCCAAAATATTTCCACTTGAAAAAATATGTTCGACTGTATCAAAATAACCAAGCTCATCAAACAGTAAAAAAACTCCACCTTGCGAAATATGTCAAGTTGTGCTATTTTGGCCTTATTAATTGTGATGAATAGTTAATTCAAGGATTATAACTTTGATTTCAATTACCTAAACAACATTTCATGAAATATATTCAGTCATGGAAACATGTATTCCGTGCTAAAAGAACAATTTATGGAAATTTGTTCTTCAAAAAATAAATTATGTGGAATCTATGCATGAAATTTAACTTTTAGGGAAATTTGGACGTTTAACCCTGTTATGGCATAGCGTCTACTTCATAGTGGGACATAGTTATTTAATTTTCATAAAGGTCCTGAACTTGCCTATACCTACTCAAAAGACATAGTTATTTAATTTTCATAAAGGTCCTTCACTTGCCTATACCTACCCAAAAGACCTTGACTGAGTCAACTAAAAGAACTAGCCTTAAAATTCAATGGATGTACCACGACTATCCTGCATCATCTCAACAATATGACGTCATATTAAAGACGTTATCATATGGACTTGTGTGTAATATTTCAGGAGTTAAAAAAGTTGTTAGTCACTCAACTTATTGCTAATTTCATGTTGGTCTTTTGAAACAAAATCGTGGTTGGTCGAATTGGCTATGATTTGAAGCCTTAAACCGCTGATTAACTGAAATGACCCAACTCACTTAAATGTACATCTTTTTTGTTTTTCTTTGAGAAAATATGAATAAAAAAAGAAGCCCTAATCTCAGAAGTGTATCTCGATTCCCTCCAATCTATGATTTTGCCAATAAGTAAGAGTATTGAGAATTTCCTTTGACAAGCTCATTATGTTATGCTTAGCATTTTTTCTATTTAAACAGTCAGGCTACATAATACATAAAAAGTAACAAAATTCTTTAAGTTTATGTTGATTTGTTTTTATTAACCTAATTTTATTCATTAGTCAATAGTTCTTGTAATAAAAAGTTATTTAGTAATATTTAGTTATTTAAGTTCTTGCAATTTAAGTGGGCCCAAAATCCAGATTTTTTTTATTTTTTTACAAAAATTCAATTTTGACTAAAAGTCCAGACCGACTAATTGAACCAAATCGAATCAACCTAAATCGATTTGATTTGGATTTGTTCGATTTAAGAGTCAGATTGGGTTAATTTGGGTTAAAATTCACCAAAATCGATTAATTTGATTTTGATTTCGGGTCTGAATTGAAAACGACCTAAACCAAAGCACTCCAGTCTTATATACATCTAATGTACCACTTGACGAGATGATATCGTACAATAATTTATAATCTTTTCTTCCTTATCAAGTCTGCTTTACCAAATATGCTATAATAGAACAATTAACGAATTATAAAATATAGAATGCATAACAGACTTCATAGGATTGGAGATCTATGCGCTAATTTATGGTTTGAAATCTATGTTGTCTCGAACAATTGAATGGGCCTAAGTGCCATGTTTTCAAAGGTTGAAGACCGCAAATCCAATTTTTCACTATAAGAAAATATGAACCACAAGTTTTATTCACATGTATAATGTTTCTGAACACTAAGAAGAGTCTGTCCTTGTTGAATTATTGAGGGTGACAAAAAATTGACAACTATGATGTGATTGAAGTTGAAGCAAATTAATTAAAAAGGTTGAACCGCAACCTGAGCTCCACCATCTCGTCTCTAGAGATTTGTGAGGGAGGTAAATCGTGGAATGTGTCCCAACAGGTCAGGAAACAAGAGTTGCATGTACACTGCGCTTACAAGGAGTCCAATTCCATGTTTCAGGAATTGAACCCTCACACTGCGGCTGCCAACAAGGCGTGAAATAACCTCACTCCTGTTTTTTGCACCACTAGACTATGTTCAGGAGGCAAGTTGAAGCAAATTAATTAAAAATACAAAAGTAAATCTTTGCGAGATAAAATTTAATTGCTTAATATATTTAGTAGAAGAGATTAATCCTATTTAGTATTTAATTGTCGTCAAGTGATTTTCCTCAAGTTGAAATATTTAAATAACTGTATTAACGTAAATAGTTTTTGTTACGATTTTCTCCATTAATTCGTTTGATATATTTATTTAAAATAACAATATTAAATATAAACAATTTATTAAGAGGAGTTGACGAAACTTAGCCCTCATTTGAGCTCCATTATTTCTCAGTACATTAAATTAAAATTTTCTCTCTCATATTTTTAATCACACAATTTTCAATAAAATAATATTACACGTAAATCAAAAACTTTTCAACTACTCATTTTTCAAAAAAATACTATTTATCTCATTATAATCTACAAATAATGGGGCTCAAACGGTTGTACAATCGTTTATTACTACAAACAAAATATATCATGTTGTGCTATTCAGGCCTTATTACGTCCCGTTTGGTATCCATTTTTTTCAAAATGCATTTTTCTTTATCTTCTTTTCAACCATACATCCTTTATTAAAATAATATTACACGTAAATAAAAAAATTCTTTATTTTTCAACCACACATTTCCCGTCAATTTACTATTCTAAAATACATTTTTACATAAAAATGGTTACCAAACACCTAATTCACCGATTACAACTTTGATTTCAATGACCTAAACAAGATTAGATGAAATATATTTAGTTATGGAAACCTGTATTCCGTGCTAAAAAAAACAATTTTGTGGAAATTTGTTCTGCAAATAATGAATTATGAGGATACCAAGTCTTTCCAAGTACCTCTGCATGAAATTAATTTTTGAGATTCAAAAATTGTTTTTGGGTTAGTTTGACTAACTGTATGAAAGTGTTTTCAGTAGTTAAAATAATTTTTAGAGGAAGATGGTCCATTATGGCTTCCTCTAAAAGAAATGTGTTTTTAAAAATGTCTCCAAATAAATATTAAAGTAGCTTCCTTCAAAAGCTCTACTACCGGTTACAAAAGCAAAAGTAAAAACCTTGCCAAAAGGAACCTAATCGTCTAAAGACGCTTCCTTCTTTTGACTAGTATAAATACAAGAAAATGTTTCATATGTTATCATAATGAAACATCTTTTTATTTCTTACTCAAACACTATATTTCCCAAATCTCTTGTATGCATAAGTTTGCTCCTTGTCGTCGATGAGATCAAAAGGTACTCCCACTTCACCCTACCCTACTTGAGGGATTTTTTTCCTTAAATATTGTTCTTGTTCGTTACATTTTTCTCTACCTTATATATTATTTCTAATTATGTCTATTTGTTAATAGAGACACATTTTACAATTAATTATTATTACATGTGATCTAATCTTTTGTTGCATTTAATAATCATAGGTTATTTTTCGAGAGAGATAATTGGATATAAAAATAAAGTTTTTCAAAATTCTCGTCAAGTTTTAAACTAATTTGATTATTATAATCTCATGTATGGCACAATTCTCCACCATAATTCTATCTTATTCACATACATTTTTCAATATGAAATATATCACCAATTTAAGATAGATATGGGTTTCAAACCACAATAGGGTAAAATTAATTTCAGTTCACACCAGTTGAAGATTGTATCAAAATCCTAGAGTCCGAACCTTGATATATTCTTGGCACACCACTCCTTATTAGAAAGTGGGATCCTAGCTAAAAACCTAAAGGAATTAAACTACACTTGCTCCCTTGCATTTTGGTGACTTTATTTGCAAATTTGGGATAATGAAGCTATTGGCAGCTACCTAAGTGTCCCTTTGCAATTAAACTACTTTTCTAGAATTTTTTTGATATAATGGTTGAAATTCTCTCACAGTGCATGAGCCCCGTGTGAATAAAAAAGTCCCAAAAAGAAGTGGACCCCGTCGATATGAGTGTCGGTCATCCATAATGTTAAAAAAAATTCTGTCACCGTAGCATTTTTCGTCTCTTTGTATGTAAATGGACCCACAGCCATCTGATTTCGCCTATGTATTAAATTATTCATCCTATAAACGTTATTTTTTTTTTTCGAATTTCATTGTCCTATCATCAAGCCATTGTGTTAATGGCCAGTAGTTGGGCGACGACAGTTGGTGAAGGTGTTGTGAGTTCATTTATCGTTAAAATCTTAACATATCAACCTAAAATTTCAATCTAAGAATTGTTTGACAGTTTTTAAAAAAAATTTCAGTAGATTTTGATCAAAGTTATGAAATTTGTTATTCAAAAGTTGATAAATGTTATGAATCATATCAAAAGTGTATTTAAAATTGAAGCTTGACTAATTAAAAATTTAATAAAATTTTATCAAAAATTTGCTGAAAATATATGCTTACGCAAATTCATGCTCTAGGGATGACAACCATTGGAGCCAAAGGAGAAAGTCCAAGTGCTGAAATCACTCAATCTGGTGCAAAATCACAAGAATCAAGGGATGAGTGGTTGATTTCTATAGAGAACTGTAACGTTGACGAAACAACAAAGAAATCCCAAATAGAAAAAGTTCCATCAACGCTACGTCATCGTCACTCAAACGAAGATTGTTTTGATCCTATTGTAGTTTCGATAGGCCCTTATCATCATGAAAAGTCAGAGCTCAAAGCATTCGAGGAGCTAAAAATTCCAATCGCAAAGAAATTTTGTCGTGACCATGGTAATCAACTATCTATCGAACAGTTATACGAAGTGGTGGAAAAGGTGGGTAAAAGTGCCCGTGAATGCTATGCGAAAGGCTCGACTGAACGCTATGATGATGAATCGTTCAACAGAATGATGTTTCTTGATGCTTGCTTTGTTCTTCATTTTGTGTTCATCTTAAGAGAAGAAAATGTTTCCAATTGGAAAGAAATGGAACAAGAAGTAGATCCACGACAGTACTCGGATTACTACCAAATTTTAGTGAGTAGGGACTTGATCTTGCTAGAGAATCAAATTCCTTTACTAGTACTAAAAGTTTTGATGAATTTCATGTTTGATGGTAAAGGACAGAAAAAGTCGATTCACAATTTCCTTGAACGCTACAACATAAGTAATTCTGCTTTCAGGGAATTAGATTTGGATGGAGCCCCACACCTTCTATATCTATTATGGAAAAATCTTGCTTCTAGGCCAATTACGAAGACATTAAAACAAGAGCAATATGTATGGGAAACATGTCGTGTATGGGAAACATATCGTACAGTAACCAAGCTCGAATCAGTAGGAATTTATGTCGAACCAAGTAAAACTGGAAATCTTACTCATGCAGAGTTCAAATCTCACCTTACTTTCGGTACTCTCACACTTCCTCCAATCTTCTTCAATGATTTAACAAAACCTTTGCTATTAAACTTGATGGCTTATGAAATGTGTCCCCATGGGCCTTCTGATTTGGGCATTACTTCGTACATTTGTCTAATGGATTCACTCATTGATCGTGTTGATGATGTTAAAGAGCTCAGGAAGAGAAGAATTCTTTTCAACAATATGGACAGTGACCAAGAATTGGCACAATTCTTTAACCAGATTGCTAAAGATTTGGTAGGTGATTATTCTATATATGCAGAAGTTAAATGGAAGGTTGATAATCATTGCCAGAATAAAGTACAATCCTCGATAGCTGAATGGATGCACAAATATTTTAGCAGTCCTTGGTCTCTCTTCGCTTTTCTAGGTGCAATTTTCACCCTTGCCCTTACTGCGGTACAGGCATATTTTACTGTTTTTCCTGGCAAAAAAGAAGACGACTTCCTAAATCAATAATCTCGAATTTGCACGTGTTTGTTCTTCTGTTTGTTTCAATTGTTTTGGTTTTGTTGTGTGTTCTTCATTTTATGCTGGTGCAATAATTATATTATGTTCCATTGTTTTCAACCAGTCCCTGATTTTTCGAGTTGAAGATTCAACTCTTATGATATTGCAAAATACTAAATGAATGATGATTACGAAAAATAAAACTAATTTATCAAAATTTTGTGATAACTTGCACTTGCACCTTCCATGGCAAGATGGCAATTCTTTCTGAATCCTAAGTGATACTGAACTCCAATTACAAGTAGTTACTGTTAGTTTAATTCCATAAGCCAAGGCACACCATTGAAGTTATCAATAACCTCATAACTGTCGAAAATATCTAAGTTGTTGAACCACGCATTCCGTATGACACACATCTTATAATTACAAAAGGCTTTACCAAACATACATGAAATACAAAAATGTGTATATTCCATCAATATTGAATGAGATCGAATCCAACAAGAAATGTTATGACCTCTTGGTGGTTTCAATAGGCCCTTGTTATCATGGAAAACCCGAGCTCGGAACATTGGAGAAACTCTAAATAGCATATGCTTAGCAATTTGTTCGTGCATGTAGTGATCAATCATCTGTTGGATAAACTGTTGTCAAACAACCTCCCCTGTAACTCAATAATTTCTCAGCTAGCATCGACCTAATGACTAAACGATAAGTTGACACCAAAGTGAAAAAGACTCGACCGCAAAACTATTTGGCCATTTGAAGCATCCTAATTTTAATTAGAGCTGCTTATGGTCCGTTTCACTTAGTTGGACGGCAAATATTGGATAACCTACTTAATTGCCTACTTATATCCGTAATGGACTTGACCCGTCACTGTACCCTAATTAATACCTATATATTCTTGGGGCACCCGTCCTTTTTTGGTCAATGAATTCATTCTCTTTCTCTCCTTACCATGTGTGAAACTGGTGGCTCTCTTCATGATTCTTCCTTGTTCTTTTTCTTCACTGCCTTCGTGGTTGCCTCTTATCTAGGGCTCGGCTCGGCCCATGAAAGTACGAGCTCGGCTTGGGCTCACCACAAGACGAGCTCGTTTTGAAATGAGACTCGGCTCTCGAGCACACGTCGTTTTTCATTTATATTTATATTTATATTTATATTTTTTTTTGAAACAAATAGGTAAATTGGAAAATAAAAAAGTAATTTTAATTTTTAAATCGTGAATTTTTTATATAAAAATTTATATATATAAAAAACTAGGTAAAAAATTTAAACCCTCCTCCTTTATACGAGTTTGGGATCGGCTACTTAAATTTAGAGTAGGCGGAGTTAAAAATTTTGTTGTTTGTTCGTGTACGATTTTTTAAAGAAAATTTAAAACAGTATAAAAAATTATTTTTTCAAGCAACGCTGCGCGTCTCCTTGCATATAATTTTCGAAGTAAATCCCTTTTTAAAAATTGAAAGGGTAATCGAATGCCCTTTCAATTGTCAGAAGTCTTCTACTTCGAAAATTATATAGAAGTCTTTTACTTCGAAAATTATATATAATATTCGAAATGAAAGACTTTTGACAATTGAAAGGGCAATCATTCGATTACCCTTTCAATTTTCAGAAGGAATTTACTTCGAAAATTATATGTAAAAGTACGCACAACATTGTTCGATAAAAGAATTTAAAATGTAGACATATAGTAGTAATAGTACCAAGTACTAACAAAAATTTAACTAAATTGGTGGAAAAAAACTTTTTTTTTTCTTTTTTTCTTTTTTAACTAAAAGAGATAGAAAAAAATAAAAATGAAATCTTTATTTTTTTATTTTTATTTTTAAAATAGATAAAATATAAACCCTCCTCCTTTATCCGGATTTAGGACCAGCTACTTAAATTTTAAAGTAGGTGAAGTTAAAAATTATACACGAACAATTTATTGTAGCCTGTACAATTTTTTAAATAAAATTAAAAGTAACGATAAAAAAATAAAAGTTTCATCAATATAATTAAATCAAATATCACTTACTTGACGACATACAATTTCGGCATATTTATCTTGTAGTCGAAAATGAGTGTTCTACCGATCTTTAACGCACATTAACGCTTTTAAAATATCTTCTTTCAGTCGGCTCCTGACCTCGGTCAAAACTCTTTTACCTGCACTAAAAGCAGACTCCGAAGTAACAGTGCTAACCGGAGGTATCAGCAGATCTTTTGCAATCGCAGATATAACTGGCCAACGTCGTTTATACTTTCGCCAGAATTCAATTACTTTGTCTGAATTTTTTTAATTGTTTTATCTGTTGACATATTTTGGTTGAAATAATCAATTAATTTAGCAGGCAATACATTTTGACTTGAGCTCGTAGATGTTTGATGAGAATGAGATACAGATGGTGACGACATGACAGTGATAGTAGATGAACACATTGCAGATGAATCATATTTATACGAATTAATGCCTTAAAATAAATTAAATATTTTCACATCTTCTTCTTCAATTTCAGCGGAAGGAGTAGGTGCAGATGGTACCCGACTAATATTGGTACCCATTCGGTTCGCATATAATTCATACATTTCACATAATGTTTACTCTAATTTTCTATGTGTGATAAGTGTATCAAATGTTAAGGCGTTTGAAATTTGATTAATTATATATTTAGTTCCTGATAAATTACATCGGGGGTCCATCACGCATGCTAAAGGAAATAACATAGGCAAATCTTCCCAATATTTTCTAAATTTTAATTTCATAGTAATTAAATTTCACTAAAATCATGGTCATTTTTTGTATTTATGAAATGTTCTTACAATTATATAAAGACGTTCAAGTACTATACATCTGGTGGGATAGTAAACACCCGATAAAATTTTAGTGATTTCATAAAAAGATGTCAAAAATCTTTTAGCTTTCAAAGCTATTTGTCAATCATGTTCAGTCAACATACCCTTGTCATCACTTCTAACATGTCTATTGTTATAAAAGTCAGTTATTAAATGTTCAAAACCTTCACATGACTTTAATAACAAGTAAGTAGAGTTCCACCTATAACCTACGTCGCTAACAAATGTTTTAGCATTTTGCACTCCTATTTCAGCACAATAATCCTCAAATGCTTATTTTCTACTTGGAGAGATTGTGATATATATTAGTGTGTTCCAGATATTTTAAAGCTCATCCTTTATATGTTTTAAACAATCTTGAACAATTAAATTCAAAATATGACATACACAACGAATATGAAACAAATACCCACCAAAATCAGGTTGCAGTACCCTATGCAATTTATCGACAACTACTTTATTAACGCTATCATTATCAAAAGTAAATGAACGAATTTTACTTTCGCAATGATATTCTCTAACAATATTAATAATAGCATTAAATATATTATTAGCCTTGTGAGGAAACTCAATAATTCTAAAAGCAATAATTTTTTTATGCATGCACCAAAGTGGGTCTATATAATGTGCAGTTGCAGCTATATATGCTCTTTTATTAATCCCTTCCCATATATCCGAATTAAAGATATGACACTTCTATATTTTTGCAAATCAATAATTAATTGTTGTTTTGTTTCAGTAAAATATTGTATTGGACAGAACGAAGAGTGTTTCGACTTACCTCAACGTACCCTGGCTGCAGATATTCTTTCACATACGAGATTTAGTGTTGGTTGTCAATTAATGCAAAGGTAAATCAGCACCGGCAACTCAGCACCAGCAACAAGTTTCACCATTTTGGTTCGAGCTCTCTCCTCCGAATACACCCATGTGGATAGGGGTGCAGTAGAACCACCGACGTCTGGACTGTCAAATTGAAATTGTGTTTCATAACCTGGAATAAGTCCCTGTTTGGCCGCACATACTTTGTAATGACGGTTGAGATGGGTGGTACTAATTCCTCTTTACCATGCCAATCTTTGTTGGCAGTATTTACATACTGCTTTGGATTCTGGGACTCCATTGACAATTTTTCCCGTTGAAATCAACTTAAAGTGATCCCAACATTTTGCTTGTTTTTCCCCTTTCGCTTTCCCCTTGCATCAGAAATGTTTAATTCAGCATTTTCTTCCTAATCGTATTCCGCTTCGGGAACGTCAATATCATCCATATTAATTGGATAATTTGGATTGTCGCTTAGATGATGATGAAGATCCAAATCTGGAATATCTCCAGGTAGGGATACATCATTTAGACCTTCAAATTGATTCCGAAATTGATTTCGCGGTGTCATAGGCGATTTGTTTCCTCCCACACCGAACAAGTTTTCAACAAATGTGCGTGAATCCATTTGTTTAATTGTAATAAGTAATAACTAGTAAAAGAATAATTGTATAAATGTAGTGAGAAATGAAAATTGGATGAAATTTCAATAAATATAGTGAGAACTGAGAAATGAGAAATGAATATTGTATAAATTGTATATAAAAATTGCACAACTATCAACACAACACAAGAGAGTTGAGAGTGAATTGTAGAAAATTTTGTGGCTACATGCCACTATTTGTAGAAGAAGAAGAGGGAAGAAAAAAAAAACTTAAAGGACCGAAACGTTCACTGAAAAAATTTAATGACCGTTAACGATTATAAATTAAAAAAAAATTCAGGGACCGAAATGGTCACTTTTTAAACGAGCCCACGAGCTGGGCTCGTGTCTCGTTAAAAACGAGCCGCTCGTCGACTCGCGCTCCTGTTTTTACAAGCCCGATCCGCCCACGAGCTTTGTTTTTGCGAGTCGAGCGGGCGACCCGACAAGCCGTTCGGCCCATTTGCCACCCCTACTCTCATCTTTGTGATTATACTTTCCATTACACATCCTGAATGGGTGAAAAAAAGAGCAACCGTGAGTGAAAATGTGGTTTGAGGGATTTTGGATGACTCTCATAATGGTGTCGATTGGATGAAAAACTGAGCCCGATTCAAGCTTTGGTGATCATCGTCTTCTGCTCAACATTTGGTACTAGAGCCTTGTAGTGTTTTTTTGACCAAAAATTGACAGAAGGAGGCCAAAATTGCACGATTTTCTTGAAGGGGCCGAACTTGAAAACCCAAATTTCGACCAAACCAATGACCAGCCTAGAAAACCAAGACCATATCTGGATTCTACAGGTAGAAGCGCTCCTCTCTACACGACATGGGAAGACTATGGTGACTGACGGCGACAATGCATGACATTTGGTCTGGAAAATTGTTAGTTTGCTTCAGGTAGTTTGCTTGTTTTGATTTTCTGAATATACTAATATTGTTAGTTTCGTGTTTCAGGTTACACTGGAAAATTTGAATGATTTTGCCCTTGGAAGCTTGATTAGGATTGTTGATCAATCGCAATGGTATATTTGCTGAATCTTTAGGGCAAATAGGGCAACCCTAAAGCAACAGATTCACATATCTTGATTTTACGAAATTTTAGATGTTTTCGCTCCTGTAAATTAGCTTATCCCGATTAGCATGTCATCGTCTGGGAGGTGATAATAGGATTTGGGGTTATCGTGTGGTGTAGTCATTGCTTGTGCTAGAAATTAGGAACTATCTCCTCTTACGTGATTGTAGTAATTTGTTCTTTTATAAAATCCATTTATTATCTTCATGGCATGCCCTGTGTGGAATTGCTGTGGTTGAAATTGCTTTGTTTGACATTCCTCGTTGTTGCCTCATTAATTTCGTTAGAACGCTTAGACCTTACTTACTTCCAACATCCTCTTGATCTAAGATTGCGAATTTGACGAAACCCTAGGAATCTAGAACGGTGTATATTGTCTGTGACTTAGGACTACTTTGTATGGCTTGATTTGGAAATTTTTAAAGGAAAATGTGACTATTCTAAATGGCAACAAAGATGAGAGATATCTTGGTCCAATAAAATGTTTCAAAAGTCATTGAAGGCAAATTTTCTGTTGATTTTCAAAAGAAGAAAAAGAAGAACTCGATGAGATTTCTTATACTTCAATCATTTTACACTTGTCTGATGTTGTTTTGAGAAAAGTGGGTAAACTAAAAATCACTGAAGAACTTTAGGAAAAATTTGAGGACTTGTATTTGCTCAAATCCACTCCAAACAAGCTTTTAAAATGGATCATTCAAAGGATATTGATTATAATTTTGATGTGTTTAACAAACTTGTCCAAGATATCATTAACAATGAAGAGACAGTGTCAGAAACCTATAAAGCTATAATTCTACTTAGTTCCATACCTTAAGAATGCGATCAAGTATGGTAAGGACACTTTGAGGCTTGAAATTGTCATTGACTCTCTCAAAAGTAAGGAGATGGAGATTACAGCTTAAAAACATTATAAGAAAAGGCGATGAGATTTACATAGTGCAGGGTAGAACTCAGTTTAGGCAAAACAGTTATGAAGGGTTCTATAGTGCTGGCAAGTTAAATAGTAATGGAAGTAAAAGAAGGGCAAGGTAGGTCTAGATCAAAATCTAGAACTAAGGTTAGAAAATTCTATGGTTATGGGAATACGAGGCGTTTTATAAGAGACTGCTAAAAAGAGAAAGGTAAGTTGAAGGGAAAAGAGAGAGATGAAGTAAATGCGCTGTCTTCCACTTCCAATGTTGATGAGGTAGCTTTTTTTATATACCTAAAAATTTTCTATAGTCAAAGCATCGACAAAAGACAACAGGTATGGTGGTGGTTCATATTAAAAATTCTTAAAAGCTCGACAGTCGAATCAATATTGAGTTGTTTTGATACGTCAATTTACCAGTACATGTTTGTCTTTCTTTTTTTTTTTTTTGGTTTGAAAATTTCAAAATTATCATACTTAGCTGATAAAATAATAAAACTAACATAAGAAGTAAAAAAATGAAACGATTAGATTGAGGCGTATTACTTTTTGTAAGAAGTTTCTAGCTTTATGAAGTTTTGATAGTTCACTATTCCTTGTGATGGAAATTTCACATGAACCGTGCTAGACATACAAGGCCACGTAGGCCCTGTCCAAACAACTTTTTTCAATTTCACATTGTGTAATTCAAATTAATCAGTAATAAATGTTAAATCAATTTGGCCCATGTTTGGTATAGATCTAAGTCAAAGTTAACAATTAAGTTTAATCACATATTTCATGATAACAATAACTTTTATTGACTTTTTAATCACGTATTTTGTCAATTTTCATCAAAATTTACTAAAAACAACAAGGGCTAGATTGAGGTATATCTCTTTTTCCTTTTTTTACTTCACAAAATTGGTGGAACAAACTACCCCAAAAATTCATGTCTATTCCTGTTCTGAATTTTTATCTACCTAAAAATGGTCGTTCCTTTTGTATTATATGAACGAACATAGCTTAAAAATTGAAATATAACAACATTAGTTGATGTAAATATGGTTCTTTCACCTTCTTTGTTTATACTCGTAAAAGATGTAAACTTGACAAATACATATTACAACCAAGAATTGATGTGAACGGACATGTCTCTCTAATATCAAAATTAGCATAATGGGATTTTTCCATGTCGAACTCCCAACTTTTGGTCTTGATATCGATCTTCGTCTTTGAACTTGTGGCATCCTGATTAAACGTATTGAGAAAGCGCGAATAAAATTCCACATCAACAACACGGGACTATTTCCACATAACAGGCTAACATTTCGGACGGAACCCAATTTCCCACACAATGAAATTTTCAATCTCCAGGAATGCAAGTTGTTAGACCGCATCGGTGTGGCGGCCACCACCGCAACTCAACGCCCTGATCAGGCCCCACGCCCTCATTTCTCTGCTTGTCCTTGTACTTGTAAACTTGTCTTCCCCTCTTTTAAATGTAAACTTTGGCGAAGATGTATTGCTTTGGCGACGGCTTTGCCTGTTCTTCATATCCCTCAATTCCATCTCCGTTGAAAATTTTGTTATTCCAAACAACAACAAATACCATCTAGCTTTACCCGATGATGATGATGTTAATATCGACATTCTCTTCGATGATTCGGGCAATATTGCCAAGGACTTCTTTTCAATATTCTTCTCCACGCTCTTTCCGCAGAACAATGAATTCAATTTCAGCCAGAAAAGGCCTATGCCTCGCATTTTCTTGTTTTCAACTAGCTTCGAATCTTTCTTGGCCGGGACTGCAGGTTGTTTGTAAGGAATGATTTTTCCACAGAAGATGATGTATTCCGGCGGTAAAGGGATGGTGGAAGTACTCATTTCTTGACTGGAGAACTCGAAGTAATCTTGTTCCAACGATGAAGTCGAATTTAAACCACCTTGTGATTCTGTGGACAAGTCCTCTCCCCAGTCAACACTACCACCATCAGTACTATACAACGGAAGATCACACAAAGAAAGTGTCTCTTCTGCTTCATCCGAGCACTTCTTCATTCTTTTAGAGTGAGCAAATAGGCCTAAACTATGACGATTACAAATGTAACCTAATATATCGATGCCCCTTTTTCTCAAGTGGTTCTTGTACAAGAATTATGAATACTAGGAACCTAATATATCATTTGGTGTTTATATAAAGAGAGAATTGTTGTTATTAATTAATGGAAGCAGGCAAATGTTGAAACTTGAAAAGTACGGTTGATAGTTGATGGCTTTTGGCCTTTTTTTCTAGACAGGGTTAGGAATAGGAGAGTTTGATTCTCTTTTGGGTTTCTAGAAGAGCAGGCTGCAGGCCATTTGCTAGGGGAATAAAATACAAGAAAAAGAATTAATGGGCGCTAAACTTTACAAAATGTGTTACTTAAATCATTGATTTAGTTTGGCATTTATCTTTAACAATGGCTTGGTGATTTGGTACACGAACAATTTCGATTTTCAAGTAAAAAGGGACATCAAACTAAGCCATCAAAAAATATTAAACTTAGAGGGGAGTTCACTTATTCAACAGAAAAGAAGCCTACATATGTCAAAAATGTAGTCTAAATGAAACATTTTGTGAACTTAGTTGAGTTTCAAACAAATCAAAGATAATATTAATTGTAAAGTTCAGTTGCCAATATAACACGAGTTACATGGTTCAGTGCCTATTGAAACTAAACCTAATTAAACAAAAATAATTTAAAAAACAGCAAGTTGTAGCATTATATAAAGTTACGTATGAATGCTCAAAAGGAGTGGTCAGTTAGTTTGGAGGACAATCTGATAGCTCTTAGATATTATTGATTACATTGTGTTTGTGATAATTTCAAACATCTTTCAGTCACCGGAGGCTTCCTTAATTTCTAAAAAGGAAAGGGTCACAACTATCTAATAGTCATTAAAGTGAAAATGTAAAATCTTACAATATGTCTAAGAGTTTGGGAAGGTTTTCACATTTAAAATAAAAATAAAAAAAAAATAAATAAAACATCTTTCAATTTGTATATTTTGTTCCTTCAACATTTCTTTTCTTCGTCTCTTCAATTAACTCCAGAGCCATGATAAAAATAAATAAATAAATAAATAATATTTTTCTTTCTCTTGTTAGTATACTTATTCAATTTTTCTGTCTCTTCTTTTTCATCGTTTTCCCTTTTTTCAAGGAAAAAAATAACAATTTGTAAAAAAAAAAAAACTCTCATAACATTTTTCTCATCCTTTTTTTCATCCAGTTTTCCTATGAAAAAATTAATTTGTAATTAAAATTTTATAAGAGTTTATATAAGAAAAATGGACTAGTTTGTAATTATATTTATATATATTGATTAGTTGTTAAATTTAATAACTCTTTACAACAATTTTTTTTTTTTATGACGGGGGAACCCGTAGCCACTACCCTTCGAGTGCGCACTGGGTAAACCCTCGGGCTAACGTAATAACCTGCAAACTACGTTAGTCAGGTAAACCGTATTAGGCAAATCCTGTGCGACAGGATTGATCAAGAAAATGTTGGTAAGAGAAATCGAACTCATGGCCAAAGGCCTCCACGTTCACCTACTCCACCAACTCGACCATCCCATGAGGGGCAACTTTCTCCAACTTTGAACATAGTGATAGTATTAAAACATATATATTTCATTAATTTTTTTTTCATCAAAGAGTACTGACTTGTTATACACATTTTTTTTTTTTTTTGTTTTTTGGTTTTTTTTTTTTTTTTTTTTTTTTGGAGTGGTGGTGCAGGCGGTGGTAGTAGATCTATTGGTGTCGATGTTGGTGTTGTCTTGATAGTTATTGTGGATTTGGCGACAGTGGAATAGATGTAGGTGCTGGTTTTGGTGTTTGTGTGGCATTGTTGGTGGTCGTGGTGGTTTTGAAAATGATGGAGGTAGAGGTGGAGGTGGTGGTGGTGGTGGTGGATGGGCATTCTGTGACTCGTTATTTGGGTGTTATTTGTGTGATTGTGACTGTGTGACCAATTAATTTGATAATATGTGACCATTAATTATATAATTGTGACCTTAATATATTTAATTAATTAATATATGAGTTTTGAAGTTTGAAACTAGAAACTTGGAAAATGAATTATCCCATACTTAATACCTGATTTTTTAATTTTTCCCTAATTTTAATTAGAGCTACTAATGGTCCATTTCACTTACTTGGACGGCTAATATTGGGTAACCCACTTAATTGCCCACTTACTTAGACAGCTATTATTGGGTGATTTTCGTATTGGTGTCGACTGGAGGAGAAACTGGGCCCGATTCAAGCCTTGGTGGTCATCATCTTCGGCTCAACATTATCAATCAAAACAATAATATGACGGGGTGGTGAAAGTAACTGACAATGCCTGCAAATGCTTCCAAGAAAGCTTGACTGAAATCTATGAGGTGAATCATTCATCAGCATCGAAATGATGTTTCTTGATGGTAGCTATGTCCTTCAGTTCATTTTCTTCTGAGTAATATACAGAATGGATGTTGCATGCTGACGATAATTAAGGGACTGATATATGAACTGCTGCAAATAAAATACATTTTAATGCTGTCTCTTTTGATCCATTTTTTTCTTATGTCATTCATGAAAATTGTTTCAGTATCAGAGATAAATAATCCACTAAGAGAAGTTGACGTAATCTATTGTATAATCGTTTACTACTACAAACAAAATATGTCAAGTTATGCTATATTCTGGCCTTGTGCTGGAGACTGTTCACAAATATGAAATAAGTATGAGAGTCGTTATTTCGGTAACCCTAAGTAAGAGTCGTTGGACCACGTTATCTAATTCTTTAAGCTATTAGAGGTGAGATAAGTTTAATTATGTAAATTTTAAAGGTAGACATCGTAGAAGATTGATTGGAAAAAATTTCTATTCTTCTCTTTCCTCATTTAATTTCTTAGTTGCTTTGTCTTTTCACAGCAAGTTGGAAGACTATTTTTACACTGCCATTACAATAATTAATAAGACAATAATGAATTCTCTGATAAAGACTTTATGTGAACCACTTGAATAAATGTATAAATGGGTATTGATCCACTACAAAATTTTACAAAGAATCTTGAGATAAAACAAGAGCTACATTGTGAAGTCAAGTCTTTTTGTCTTTAATCCTTGGAACAACTCACAATGTTCTTCGATGCATTATTGTAGATTGGTTGGTCTTTCCAAAAGTTATTCCATTTCTATTGAATCACACATAAAAGAAAATGGGCAAGTGAATTATGAATTGTGAATTGAAAGGAATAGTTAATTTACAGATTACAACTTTGATTTCATTGACCTAAACAATATCATGAACCCGTTTGAGCCACATTATTTGTAGAATGAGAATGAAAAATAGAGTCGTTATGGTCCCACACAAGAGATAAAAATTCAAAAATGATGGTTTGATGTGATGGATAACGATCATATTTTTCATTTTAATAAGGTAAAAATGGGGTTCAAACAAAGCCTACATGAAATATAATTAGTGATGCAGACATGTATACAATGCTAAAAGAACATTTTTTTCATTTTTTGAAATTTGTTCTTTAGAAAATGAATTACGTGGAAGTCAAGTCTTTCCAACTAACTTTAGTGAAAATTTGGACATAGTTATTTATCTCCCGTTTACATTTCATTTTTATCTTTCCTATTTTCCATCAAACAATCTTCCATAAAATAATATTACACGTAAATCAAAAAAATTTCTTTCTTTTTCAACTACTAGTTTTTCGAAAAAAAAATTTATTCCACCCATATTCATTTCCACAAAATGGAGGCCGAACGGGGGCTTAATTTTCAAAAGAGTCCTCAACTTGCCTCTACCTACCCAAAAGACCTTGACTGAGTTGACTAAAGTTTTCTTTGTATTTTTAATTGGCTGCTTGTTTAAATTTTAGTTATTTTTCTAATTGAATGCTTGTTATGGCAAACGAAAATAATCCATATCGTGGCGCAAAAATTTGGGTCTTTCACATTAGAAAACTTCAATAATAATCGAGTGGCCAAATTGACATAAATGGAAAACTATAATGATTTTTTTACAATAAAAATAAAATTTCATGACCAAAATGAAATTTCGTTGAAAATTGAGTCACTAACAATGTTTTATAAAGAACATCTTTGAGTCACGCTACGTGAAATGAATAATGCTACTTGTATATGATTTACATACAGATGATGTATAAAAATAGTGGGAATGTTTTCTATTTTATTTTGTTGAAGAAATTATGACTCAATTGTTGGGAATCTACTTATACATGCACAGTGAAAAATTAAAGTTATTTCGATTCCCACCGAGGATCCCTTTGTGTTTAGATAGAAATCGTGATAAAGATTGAACCTTTGAAGAATTCTGCAAATCTTTTGCTTTTCTTTTCGTTCCAACAATCTTGATTCGCCATCCACAGCTGTCCAATTGTCCAGCCTCCAACGGTGATCCACACAGAAAATAAGATTGCAACTACCAGGGTTTTCTCCTCTTGTGCTAACAAGAATGATTATGAGAAAAACCATATGAATTGAAAACCCTAGCAATGTATTTATATAAGCCCAAATGGGCCGCCGGTCCGGTCCGGTCCAATATTTAATTAATCCATTTAATTAAATCCGATCTGTGAATTAATTAATTCGGGTTTATAAATAACCAATTCAATTAATTAATTTATCCAACAATTGTTAAATTAATTAATTGACAAATTGCAATATTTCAATTCTCTTTTGTATGCGACCCATCAGGTTCTCGATCATGATGCCTAACGACGTGAAATATTATTTTAATCTAATCAAAATTGATAAATTAAAGCTCCATTTTAATTTATCATCAATTCACACTCGCCGTACCAGATTGACATATAACGAGAAATGTCACGTGGTATGACAAAATCAAACTCGTTCGTTTACCGTGAAACTATAATCCCTTCGTCAATATGATCCAATCAATTACGATATATGGAATTGTGTCAATCCCGAATATCGATCATATCTTTCACTCCACTATTAAGTCAATATAAGTCGAAAACTCCTTTTCG